CAACCGAGGTGAAGAGGATGACAGAGGACGAGATGGCACGGAGACGAGAGAAGGGGTTGTGTTTTCGGTGCGAGGAAAAGTACACGCCGGGACATCGGTGCAAACTGAATTTTTTGATCGAGTTTGTGGACTCGGATGACGAGGAGCTGGTGATCAAGGAAGAACGGGAGGTGGAGGTTGAGGCGCTCGATGATGAGGCCGAGATCTCTGTACACGCCATGGCAGGCACCAAGGGGCCGAGGACGATGCGATTGCCGGCGTGGGTGAAGGATCAGCGAGTGATTGTGCTCGTGGACAATGGGTCGTCGCACAACTTCATTAATGCGACGCTATCTCACAAGCTTAAACTACCCACGTCCATGGTCGAGCCATTCGAAGTACGGGTGGCTAATGGAGAGAGACTGCGGTGCTCGAAGGTGTACCGAGGTGTGCCAATCAAATTTCAAGGAGTAACGGTAAAGGCGGACCTGTTTGCCTTACCATTGGTAGGACCTGATGTGGTGCTTGGTGTGCAATGGCTCGAAGGGCTCGGTGACGTAACGACCAACTATCGGAAGGGCGTGATGAAGTTCGAGACCGATGATAGGTTGGTTACCTTGAAAGCGAGCGAGGGGTCGACCAAGGAGGTTGGTCTAAAAAACATCGAGAAGGTGTGGCGAGGTGGCGGACAGTTGTACGCTGTCGTGATCGAGCAGACAGGTAAGGATGCAGAGGTGCTCGAGGAGTTCGACCAGGTGGTCAAGGAGAGACAGCGCGAGGTGCGTGACTTGCTCGAGGAATTCGACCAGGTCCTCGACGAGCCCAAGGGGCTGCCGCCACACCGAGAGTTCGACCACCGCATACCTTTGGTCGAGGAAGGTCGAGAAGTGCACGTGCATCCGTATCGATACGCACACTTCCAAAAGACGGAGATCGAGCGACAGGTGGGCGAGATGCTCGAGTCCGGGCTCATCCAGCATAGCTCGAGCCCGTTCTCGTCACCGATGTTGCGCGCAAAGAAGAAGGACGGAACTTGGAGGTTTTGCACGGACTACCGCGCTCTCAATGCGGCTACCGTGAAGGATCGTTTTCCCATTCCAAGTGTCGACGACATGCTGGACGAGTTGGGTGGCGCGCGATACTTCTCCAAGCTCGACCTACGCGCGGGCTACCATCAGATCAGGTTGGCCAAGGAGGACGTACCCAAGACGGCTTTTCGCACGCACCAAGGGCACTACGAATATCTCGTGATGCCTTTCGGGTTATGCAATGCGCCGTCGACCTTTCAGTTTGCCATGAACTCGATTTTTAAGAGGCACCTACGTAAGTTTGTATTAGTATTCTTCGACGATATTTCGGTATACTCGAAAACATGGGCAGATCATCTCGAGCACTTGCGAATTGTCTTGGGGATTTTGGAAGCCAACTCATTCTACATCAAACCGTCCAAGTGCTCGTATTCTACTTGTAAATACAATCTATTGGAATTATATTAATTAAAAGGCATTAC